TAGATAGATAGATAGATAGATAGATAGATAGATAGATAGATAGACAGACAGATAGATAGGCAGATAGGTAAACAATAAAGAAAGCTAGCTAACCCATCAAGAGGCCATATCCGCAATCATCACCTTGATGAGTTTCTCACCATTCCTGGCCACTCTCATACCATATCATAATGCACCTGCCCCATCACCTCAGGTCCAGGTACCATGCAGCTGGGGACAGCTGCTAAACCCCAGCACTCTAGAAACTGATGAGAATAGCCTGAACCTGTCCACCTGCATCTCCAATGCTTTCCTGCAGCAGCAAATGAAGCTTCACCCACAGTCCCAACCTCCTCTTCTCAAGGCCAGTTCAGCAACTCTCCTGAAGCTCTGTGTGCCGCAATCTCAACCCCCTCTAACACTTGCTCTGGAGTCTAAAGTACAAACAAACAAACAAACAAACAAAACACCATGAGTATTTCAACAGCAGTTGCTCCCTGACCTGTTGGCTTGGTCATACTTGAACAGTAATAAGTCTCATGCAGTACTTCCTCAAAACCTCTGCTAACAAAGCAGTTTCTTTCTCTGGCTTTCTTCCATCTCCTTCTTTCTATTCTGAGATAGTCACTGTCTGCATATATAATTGCTACAGAGGCATTCAAATCTCCTCTGATCCCATATAGAACAGCAGACTGAGAAGATAGTACCTTTCCACAAAGGCTGCCTCCACCCACATTCTCCCTCGAGACAGGTGGGACTCTGAGCAAAAACACAAGGCTTGGTAACTGGGGCTCTGGCTGCAGTGCAGCCCCACTGGACCCCCTGGCTGGCACCTTTGTCCAGTACACAAGAGCACATGTCTGAGTCACAATCCTGGCTGCTCAGTGTCCTAATGATGAGCCTCCCAGGAGCCCAGCCGACAAAGCTCAGGAATGAAGAGGAGGGATGAAAGGAAGGATGGAGAGAGATGAAAGGCAAGAAGTGAGGAGGGGTGAAAGTGAGAGCGAAGTAAATGAAAATGCTGCTTAAAAAATGTTTTATTCCTAAGGAAATCATAACTTATTCTGTTGACTAGCCCCTGCCCATTTTAAACCTAACTGAGCTACATATTTTGAAGGCTGTCTTCCATTAGAGAAAGTCTTGACTTCTGCAAGTCTTGACTTCTGGTGAATGGTAAGCACCAACTACAGGAAACCCATGTCAGTTCACTGAGTGAAAGAGACTGTCAATCACCCAGAAGAACCACATTGTCACGTCTAGTCATCCTGTCTAAAGTCAGTAACTGTCAACACTCCTCACTTTGAAAGTATTTTTCTAAACCTCGACGTTCTCATACTACTCATCTAGATAGTGAAGATAAATACAAAGTACATTTTCATCATAATGGACGGCATCATTTTCAATCTTCTCAGAAGAAAATTTCATCTACCTAACATTTCTCAGTGATAAACTGTTTTCTAAATTTTAAACAAACTGTTACATATCCAACTGTGAAAATCTTTTATAATTAAAGTGGAAAACCACTCTAAGTCTCTCTGACAGTCTTAACAGCATGACACAGATAAAGCATTAGTCCAAATAGTTAAAGTAGCTGAAATTTTAAAAACTTGACTTGAGAATCATACAAATGATAACAAAAGAAAACATGAATATGATGATGAATGGAGGGATTCACAAGTATATATAAGTATGCCAAAAAGTTCATGCAAAATAGAACTTAAAAGATATACGTTTTGATGTTAAAATTTTTTAAATCTAGTGGCTAGCAGGGTGGTCCAACAGGCTAATCCTATGGGTGCCAGGTCATGTTCAGCTGTTCCACTTCCCATCCAGCTGCCTCGCTCCATCTCTCTATAAATTTGTCTTCCACATAAATTTTTTTTTAAATCTAAAAAAAAAAAAAGACATTGGTCTTAAAAATTTTTTTAAATTCTATGTCCTGCAGCCCAAAGCCTTGGGACTCTGCACCCATGTGTGAGACCTGGAAGAAGTTCCTGGCTCCTGGCTTTGCATCAGCACATCACTGGCCATTGCGGTCACTTAGGGAGTGAATCATCAGATGGAAGATCTTTCTGTCTCTCCTCTGTTTATCTGACTTTCCAATAAACAAAAAAATTATATGTCCTCATTGTAATTTTGTTGTTATTCTAATTCATACTGGTTGTTGACCTTATTTTATGGCTTCTCATTTAAGGGAATGTATAGCCATGGAGTAACAGAGACTACCATATCCAGATGTGGGGATACAATGCAATATGCATCCCTACTACCAAATCAAAGATGGACTCCCAATGAAACTGTTGGACATATGTAGACAAGGGGATGCTGGACTGTCTGACATTGTACCAGCAATGTCGGGGCACACTTCAATAACAAACTGATGGAATCATGACTCTTTATGAAGGACTATGCTATTGTAACAACATGGGGAAAATCATTCGGCAGGTGGGAACTTGGGGCAGAGGGAATCCCAGTCTCTACAGAATTGTATCATAAAATTCAAATTTTCGAAACAAAAATTCAAAAAAAAAGGAAATTTCACAAAACATGTATATAATGAAAAGAATATGCATAGATTCATGGACTTTACAAAACTACTATTACCAAAATAAACATGGATTTTAATTTCATTTCCCCATGAACTTTTCAAAATACCCTCCTATTAACAAAACACAAGATTTCCAAGTACAGATGAACAACCACATAGCTTTAAAAATCTTTATTCCAAAGCAGCCATAACTTCTACAGAGGAATAACATGTTTAGGAAGAGATATCAGTTTCAAGTAGCCATCAAAATGCCTTATTTGAATATGGACTGTTGAAATCCAGTAATCTGGTCTGTGGAACCAGTAAATTCCTATAGCGTGTTATAGAACACATTAAATAATCCAGTAAAAAAAAACCAGGGACTCCTTCTCAAGGAACCTCTTCCCTTCTGACATAGGAGATATAATACTTGAAATCAGGTCTGGAGCTAGGTCCTTCTTTGCCTAGTAGACTTCACTGGCAATTAAATGGGAGCTTCATCACAATTTTCATGCTATACCACTTACCTTGAGAGTAAAATTTGTGCTTGTGTTGTAAAAATCAGAATGTCCCTGACAGCAGAAACCTGAACAACAGACACTGCTCTGACACTAACTGGAAGGTCAAGTCAAATGATTTAACTCCTCTAGATCTTGGGTTCCTAACTGATACAGTTCTATTTATAAGCAGCTTAAATATAATACATTAAGTGATCAGAATCATATCAATATCCACAGCCTGTCTTGGCTAAGTGAAAACAGTGCAGTGAATGACTCATGATGCTTTTTTATGCTAAGAAGCCTCCATGTTGGCTTTTTGTTTTGAAATATAGAATAGGTGATTTTGATGATGTGGCCATCTTGATGAGTCAGCTGGACATTAAGATAAGTGCACAAAACACTACAAGATGGGGAAAACGGTGAATTATTTACTTACTAAAACATAACATGACAAACCTTACATGCTAAAAATACACACAAATAAAATGTTTCTTCAGATATTAAACATTAAACATACACAAGTATTTCCTATAAACTACTGTTAAGACAAAGCAAGGCTTCCCAGAGTCATTACAGAAGTGTGGTTCTAATACAAACCACTCTGCTATCCCTTAGTATATCTTTCCTGGATGCCACAGCTTATTGAATTGGTCAAATTGTTCAAAAAATATCTGCTGGGGACCTGGGATGCGTGGGAGGCTGGGTGGGGCTTTTCTTTTTATCTCTCCCCTTACCCCAGATACAGAAAAACAAAATACTATTAATGTGGAAACAACGGTCTTACCCACTTTTCCTGTAATCTCTTGACCCTTTGTGCCCTAATCAACTATGTAAAGATTATTAAAATAAAAGAATTTTTTAAAAATCTGCTAAGATGGAAAAGCATTTTTTCCATCTTCACAAAAACACAACTATGGTTAATCACTTCTTAATCTTAGTGTCACACTGGATGGAAACTCAGCACCGTCTTACATCTGACAGATTGAGCCTGGCTTTTATCTGAGCTACTCACCGTGTATGACTCTGAACAAGATAGCTCACTTCCCCTGGAATTTTGCTTTCATTCTACTTTCCAGATTTAAGAAGGGAGGATTGTAAGAAGAAATTTGGCCTACCATTTAAGATGCCATGTTCCATATCCAAGTACCCAAATGTCATTACAGCTCCCGCTCCTGAATCCACTTTCATGCCAATGCAGGTTCAGGGAGACAGTGTTGCTGGTCCAAGTCTCATGTTCCTATCACCTACCTGAAGAGCTCTGAACTACTGCTCAGCTCCTGGCTTCTCCTATTAGCCCCAGCATTCATAGACATTTGGCGAGTGAACCAACAGTTGGGAACACTCTTTTTTCTCTATTCTGGTCTTTCAAATATTATGAATAAAATTTTTAGAAACGTAAAAAAGAATACCCTGTTTCAAAACAAATTTTTGTTTTATTTCTTCTGTTTTATGTGAGGGTATAAATAAGAACAGTTATTAGAGATAAAAACATAAATTCTGCAAATGGAGCTTCAAAAGTTAAAAAAAATGTAATTAAATACACACATTTATTTAAGTACCAAAGCCTTTTGAAGCCTGGCATAATTTTTTTTTTCAAAATAAACAGTTCCCATGAACTTTCTGAAATTTCTTCATGTACATGGGTCTCAAGATTTTTCTGCACAAAAATAAACAGGTCAGACCAATCACAAAAAGCAGAGCTAGGCTTCTCATTGGGTGTTCCCTCCACAAGCAGCAAGACAAGACAGAAGTCTGGATGTTTTTTCTTTTGAAGACCATTACGGAGCATAAGTTCTCTGCAAGATATAATTCATTGTTCAGACCTTCAGAAGGCATCACCCCACTGCCTTTGAAACGGAAGGCTGTGTAGGAGAGAACTTCAAAATTAAAGCTTGTGGAACCAGGGGCTGGAACAAGGCAGCAAGGTTTTCTCCTACACACTTACATGTTCGATGCTGCCGACTGAAGAATACTGTCAATTCAAAGTGACTTACCCAAATCTGAAGCTTGATTCTCTTCTCATTTTTGAATACAGTTTTTACTTTGAAATCGATTCCAACCGTGCTGACAAATGCAGATGTGAAGGAGTCATCCGCATAACGGAACAGAAAAGATGTTTTCCCCACACTGCTATTGCCAATGATGAGCAATTTGAACATGTAGTCGAAATTCTGATCAGAGGAGTCTTTCTGGCTATATCTGGCATCTTGGGTAGAGGCCATCTGTAATAACCAAAACAAAAAAGAGGAATGGATCAACCTTTCATTGCCTATGAAGCTCACAGCACACTCATTATTGGCCTTGCCAGAAACAGATGTCAAACACTCAGGAGGCAAGTGGAGAGTGATCCCCAGCCTTCCTCTGATGCTGGTATCCATGGCAATAATTCCCTGCTGGAAGACAGAACAGCAAATCTTACAGCTCTTTCCAGCTGTGTTGGTGCTTGTCACTGCTCAGCATTCAGAACCAATCAAAGACACCAAAGGAGACGTTTATAAGGGTAACATCAAAAGCAAAGATATGAGGAATTGGCTGGGCATGCTGACTTTCAAACTTTGTAATTCCAGTAATGGAGAAGCCAAAGTGCCTGAACAGCAGGGTGTTTCTTTCTGAATTATCTAAATTATTAGAGTTCTTCTTATTTTCTAGGGAAAAACATCCAAAGCACATTTCCATTTTATCTATTAAACATTTTATCAAAGTAACACCTTAATATAAAAAAAAAAAAACAGTCTCTCAAATCAAAAGTAATAATGATAGCTAAAATATACCTTCCAAACAATGTGCCAGGTACTGGTTATTTATTTAACCCTCACAACAACACAAGGTAAGTAACTTTATAATTTTCATATTAAAATGAGGCCCGGAGAAGTTTAATAACTTGCCAAAGTCCACATATGCGTTCAGTAATAGAGACAGGATTCCAGTCAGACAGGTAGGGCCAATGCCATGTTCTTGATCCTGGTTCCGTTTTCCAATGATGACTATGGAAATGTACACAAAGTGCCATGGAAAGCCACATGAAATGTATTCATTGTGAAAGGCATGAAAAAGACCCCTACCTATTCAAAGCTTGGCTCCACTATTTACTGACTTTGTGACCCTGGATTTGTTACTGTAAATTGGTGCACCATAGTTTTTTACAAGAAACAGAAAAATAGCATCTATCTTGTGAAAATAACAGGTGGAACAATAACAAAGCAGGTAGGTAAATCACATAGCATAATAGAAAAATGATCTCTTATTAATTATAAATGTTTTAGGCATTTATTTTTTTCACATCTTTTTTGTTTATCACCTTAACTTTAACAAATATGGTATTGCACTATTCCTAAGTATAATTTGTCTCACCATTTAAAAAACCGGGCATTTAAATGATGATTCCCAGTGAGAAATTAACGCCTTCACTCAGTATCTTTCCTAATTCAAGTAATTCTTCAACAATTGCTCTTTTGTCCAATACAGTAACCAATGGTTGCATATGGCTAAACTATATTAAAAAATGATAGTCTCCATTACAGTTGCTATACATCCCCTAAAATGAGAAGACACAAAGCAAAATCAACAACAGGAAGGAAAAAAAAAGAAATTAACAATGCCACGAAGTTAAATGACATACTACTGAATGACTAATGTGTCGCTGAAGAAATGAAAAAGAAAATCAAAAACCTTCTTGAAGAAAAATGATGCTACTGTATGATCTATGAGTCATTGAAGAATTTAATCAGAGCAAAGTGTTTTGAAGAAATGAAACTAATCAAAAAAAATCAAAATCTGTGAGATACAGTTTCTGCTCGTCTTTGTTGGTGCAATGTGTCTCCTGCAGGCAACAAATACATGGGTTTTGTTTTTTTAATCCAGTCTACTAATCTGTGATGTTTGATTGATAAGTTTAAGCCATTTACATTCAGGATTATATGAATGGGTGGTAATTTGGTCCTGTCATTTTAGTAATGGGTTTTTCATGCATAGTAACTGTGTAATGGAGACTATCATATCCAGTAGCATGTTATTTAACTTTATGGCATTGTAAATTTCTATTTTTCTTCCTATGGCTGATTTTGTATTGTGGCTTTTCATTTAAGGAGATGTACAGTAACCGTGTAATGGAGATTATCATATCCATGTGAGGATACAATGCATTATGCATCTCTACTTCCAGGCAAAGTTGGACTCCCACTGAAGCTGTTTACTATAGCTTCACAATAGGATGCTGGACTCTGCCATTATCCATGCCCACAATGATAAACACACGACTGTGTATGAAGAACTATACTATAGTAATTATACAGGGAAACTCAGTGAGGGGGGAGGGCATTTGGGAGGGAATAAGGGCCTATGACACAAATAAAAAGAAATAAAAATTTTTTAAAAAAATATTAAATATATGATTAAAGTTTTGTCTTTCAACTTCACCAGTCACCTTTTAGGTACCTACTTCAACTGCACAATACTGTGTGGAGCAATGCAAGTATGGAACATTGCCATAATTATAGAAAGTTCTACTGGAGAGTGCTAGCAAAGACTATTTTTCATTTAACATAAAAACTGGTTGATGCATGGAACTTTCTCTTGGGAATGTTATGGGTTAGATATAGTTTGGGTATGTCCAAGTGCTGGAAACTTGGTCTTACTGCAGTGGCAAACGTTTAAGAGAGGGAGCCTGGCAGAAGGTTGTTAGATCACTGGGAAACTACTCTCGGAAGAGATTAATCTCGTGCACAAAGGACTCCGGTTAGTTCCTGCAAGAGAAAATTATAAAAAGAGAAAGCTTAGCTTTCTAGCCTCTGGCTCAGAAACCTGTGGTAAGTCCTCTCACACACGTTCCTGTGTGTCACCTGCCATGTGGGCATGCAGCCAGAGGTTCAGTGGTAAGTAAACAGATGACAGGTTTAACTGATGTGCCACATTAATTCTCAATTCTAATCTTCCCGCAAGTCCTACTAAATAGAGACAAAACAGATTACTTCTGGCTAACAGCTGGGACCACAGCCTACTTTAGAATTTTTGATATTTCATTTTGAAAATAAATGGTAACAAAGAAAAAAATAAATTATATCCAAACATTAACTTAATGGCTTAAGAATCTACAGCAAACTAAGCCACTTTCTAGTTACCACGTGCCAGCGGTTACTGAGAACAACCTCAGGGCTAGTGGGATGAGGATTCAGTAAACTTACCCGGAAAAAATAGCAATTTTCCTTTGAGATTAGAAAGAAGAATATAAGGATAGGACACTGGCATTGGAAGGACATAAGTAAAGGAGTTTCACACATCTCAATCATGTGTTTCCTGGACGAAAAAAAGTAAATAAATAAATAAAAATAAAAGTACTTTTTCTTGAGTTTTGAAACAGACTAAAATTTTAAAGCCTAGAAGGAAACTATTAGAAGTTAGGATTTTCAAACATTTGTCATCTGGGCCGCAGACTGATTCTCCCTGCTGAAATTCCTCATTTGTGCACAGGTTTCCGTCCCACTCTGTTGCCTCTCGGGACGGGCTGTTACTGTGATGCTTTTTGCAGTCTCTGGCTTGCCGTTTCTCCACGTGTCTGCTACTGTTTGCTCTGCATGAGCCAGTTGAGAAGCAAGACACTGCCCATATCACTACTGACAAGTCAACATTCAACTGAGAGAATCCTGTCTAGAGCAAGTCTTTGAGGATTTCAACTGCAGCTCTGTCTTCTGAAAGATAGAGCTTGGGAAATCTAGGGCACTCATAATTCTTTCCAGTTGCTTGACTCTAACAGGGAATGAATGGCAATCTCATGGGATTCACAAGGCAATGCATACAATCATATGCCGTTAAATCATGCTATATTTTACATGTATTCTTCAGATCTTTCAGCGTCGCGCTGGATCTCCATCTCATGCAAAGCTTGTTGAGTGCATGTGGTTAACCCTGCACATGTGTACAGGAAATAGTTAAATAAATAACACATCATCAAAGCTGTCACAGGCACTGTACATGTACTAGAGCTCCTAATCCTTTCACTACTCCTGGGTCCAACTAATCATATTCCAGTTTTAGAGAGAAAGAATGCACTGCAGTATTACAAAAAGGTTACCTCTTTCCACTGCCTAGTGGAAATTTATTTATGTTTGAACTTTACTTTTAAAGAACTAACGGATGGGACTCCTGATGGTGAAATTCACAAAAATATAAGGAACCCGCTTCCCCACCAAAAGCTGTCCTCCGTAATGGGAGTCTGTCTCTCTCAGAATTGTTCTCACTGAGCCTTCAGTAATTCATCAATTACGCTTTAGATTTTTGTACCCCAGTGCTGGTTCCTATAGAAGTTTATGCTATGTAATTTGAGGCAGTAGAGGGCAAGATAGGGCATAGACACAATTTGCACTATGACCTTCTTCTCTCATAAATCTAACAGGAGCTGTTGATTTTCCATTTGTTCAGCTTTTTCCTTGTTTAAAATTGAGAGTGACAGTTTGCAGGACACGTGCAGAACTGGAAATCACCATCACCATTTGAAAATTGAAATTAATGGAAGTTGAGGGAAAGCTAAAGCTTCTTGTTATCTTAGTTTCTTTTGGTCTTTGCATCGAGCCCTCATTATCTGTGCCAAATAGGTTCTTCATGACCTCGCAGCCTGCAGACTCAGCGAATTTACCCTGTCCTTCACCAGATTAACAAGTCTGAAATTTCAATCACAGAGGTAAATAAACACAGAGGTAAAGGAGCTTTTTGTCTTCACTCATAAAAAAGATTGATCCCTTTATTGGAGACTTGACTTAAACTGGAATATGTATTTATATACTCACATACAAAAGGGTACCCAAACACTTATGAAAAATAAAATGAAAAGGTAAATTTATCTTTGTTGCAGAATTTCAGAAATCCAGATAGTTTTTTTTTAATAATATGTATTATCATGGTATTTTTGAAGGCCTTTCACATACATGCAGCTATGAGACTACCAGAATGAGACACAGGAGAACAATTTCAAGACATAAGAACAGGAAATGGTTTCTTTGAGTAGGACTCCAAAGAGCACAAAAGCAAAAGTAGAAAACTGGGATCACATCGAGCTAACAAGCTTCTGTACAACAAAGGAAACAATCAACAGAGGGTAGCAGAACAGGAAAAAATACTGCAAAGTATTCATCTGACACATGAAATCATTTACAAAATATATCAAGAATTTTAAAAACTTAACAACAAAAAACAAACGACCAAGTTAAAACATGGGCAAAGGATCTAAAAA